TGCTTACTGTTAAGACTTAAAATCAAAACCTTGGCAAACTGAACACTATTTTGATTGTCCTTAAACCTGAAATGTTGAATTTTGCATTATTTACGTATCCTTAGAAATTGGAAGCTCTGTTTTGGTTTTATAGTTTCAAGTCAGAGAAATGACTGGACTACGTCTAAAAATCTCTGAAGCAATACTTCAAATTTATTGTGCAGCCTCTGAAGGTCCGATGATAGTCTCTATGCAGTTTGGGGCCATAGTTTGAGGGAACTGCAATCCACTTTATGATCTAAGTGCTTTTCATTCACTCCCTAGCCTGTGTTCTCCCCAGTTTTTATTTTCTTCTTCTGTCAGATCTTCCACCCCCACCCAAGATCCAAAACCCCTCCTCTTTGAGTCTGCCATGGGCAGCTTCTGAGAGCTAAAAAGGATTGCATCCCAGCATCCCACAGCATAAATGGGAAATTATTGTATCAGTACTTTAATTGGTCTGTCCTGGTATGACCTGTGTCTCTGCGTTTCAGACTACAGTTGTCTTCTTGTGAGGAAATGGAAAGAAAAGAGGGACAAGCATACTGAAGAACCTGCAACTTTAGAACAGATCTGCGACAATGAAGTAAAATACATATATAGAAGATATTATTCTTATTAGCCAGTTGAATGGTGACAGGAGCCATGTGTATGTGCCCTCAAGTCACCTGTTGATTTATGGTGACTCCATGAATTTCATAGGGTTTTCTCAGGCAAGCAATACTCAGAGGTGGTTTTGCCAGTTCCTTCCTAGAGCACCTGGTATTCATTGGCAATCTCCCATCCAAGTACAAACCAAGGCTGACCCTTGCTTAGGTTCCAAGATCAGATGGGATCTGATGCTTTTAAGGTATTTAGGCCAGCTAACAGGAGGTGTTATTTTTTATTTTCACATTGCTTTCTCATGTACATTGCTAAAGGACAGGAGTGTGCGAGAGAATGCATTGATATGGGGCAGAGAAGAATGTGAGTCTTTGTATGTGTGAGCGTGAAAAGAGATGCAGAATTTGACTCTATTTTCCTAGACAATACCGCATGTGTCCTTGGAGAATGAGACATTTGTGCACCTCTGATGTATATAAAGAACCATGTAAAGAAGAATTAATGAATCATATGCTTGTATATATCAGCTGCTGGGCAAAATAGGTGAGTGTTAGTGTACTTATGTCCTGCCTGTGGAATTCCTGAATGCAAGGCTAGATAGATCTTTGGTCCAATCTAGCACAGTCAACATATATTCTTAATCTGTCCATTTCTGTCCTCCCAGTTTCTAATTTTTTCCAATCCTCATTTGTGTTTCTATATCAGTTAGTGACTTTTACATGCAAAATTTCATGTATTTTCACATACATTTATTCCAATACACATGTTTATATTTAATAACACATTTTTACTAGCCATTTCTTTATATGATGGTCTTTGTACATTTCAGCCACTAATATATGCATTTTTGTTTATGCTTTTCACCAATAATTTTTTTTTTTGCACATCTCTATTTTTGTTTCTAAAACCATATCACAAAATTCTGAGAAGGGTAAATATTGAAGGATAACTATGTTCCAAGTCACATTTCAGTTTGAGAAGTGTTAATTTAGTAAATTCCTAGCCTAATTCAAGCTGATTGATTTCCATCCCCTCTATATAAAAACCTAAATATTTGTTCTACACTGAAATGTGTTGTGTGCCACACATAACCGTATTCTCTCTACAGTGCAAGTAAGCTTTGCTTCTAGGAATTAATGCAATACACCCAGCTTTGTTTAATAATTTGTTTAAATTTGTTTAATAGAGGGAACTGAGATGAAGAACTAATGAGAAATATACTACATGACGAACAGTCCAAGCTTGGCATAAATTACTTGATACACTTTCTACTTTCTGGATTGAGAATTATCCCTTTTGTGCTACCTCCATTTCTCTCATATTCTCTGGAGAATGCAACTTGCAACCTAAAACCTTTTCCTCTTGCTGAATTCTCTTGCTTTTTCTGGTTCAAGGACTCTTTGTTTACAATTGTTGTCACACCATGGCTTTGAGTTCCAAAGAGGGTTGTTTTTTTTTTCTCCTCAATAGAAAAAAAATACAGACAGGTCCTTCACATTTAACAAAGCAGCAACCAATTCAACAAATAAAAAGAACAATACAAATAACACTAAAAGTCAAAGCATCCAAGTTAAAAACAAGAGCTCATACATGGAAGCAAACAGGAAAAAAATATGATTGTGATCCAATGTATATTTACTCAGAAGTAAGTCCCAGTGAATGCAGTGGGATTTACTGTATGTTCCTGACCCTGCCTCAGTTGTTAGGATTCTCTGAATTATTTCCAAAGGGGACACATTAGTTTCTTGCAGCAAAAATAACAAATCCTGGGGCACCTTAAAGACTAACAAATGTAATATTGCTTGAGCTTTGTGGACTATCATCTTCAAAGCTGACTCCTCCTCTGTTGGCTGTTATTAGATTGCAGAGAAAATCTAATAACAGCCAACAGCCACCAAATTATTAAATTATGCCTTCATACTCTTATTTACAGCAACACTGTTCCCATAACCAGAGTAGGGGCAGAAACCATTTTACCAGCAAATTGGTTCAAATGCTCCTTTCCATCCAACAAAGCATTTATCACCATCTGCTCTTGGAAAACCACTTCCTTCTAACCCAGTTCACATACCTTTTCAGCTGCATAAGTTTGGCTCACAGTGCAGATTTCTGTTCCAGTTTCTGTCACAAAATATTCAATGTTCATTTGTGTCTAAACCTTACCATGTGGCTTACATTAGCAAAAATGGGATTTTCAGGTTTTACCTAGTCAACAGAGCAGCCCGCTTTCCTGTTGAGAGTGGAGCTATCAAATCTACAGCTATTTCAGCCCCATATGGGGGATGGCTCTCACTGACCCACGCCATACTGATTATTAATTGTTTTACATAGCAACAATCTTCCAAATGTTTGTTTCTTTTTAAAAAAAAGTTATTCCTTCTGCTAAAAATACTAACTAACCACAATCCAGATTAATTTTAACTTTGTTTTATAAGCACAGTTAAAATAATTTGGGATGATGTTTAAAAATGGAAAATGTTCACATTAGCAAGGATTCATTTGCACACAGCTGTGTCTTCATGTGTATATGTATTTCTGTCAGTATAACACACATATATATAGGCCAGAATCCAGTGGTGTATTACTCTCTTGTAAACCCCATGCTCCCAACATACTATGCTACAAAACCTGCGAAACTCTACAGTCTCTGTGCCACAAAGGGCTTGGGAGAGGAGAGAGAGACTCCAGTATTCTGCAACTAAAGGCATGTATCATTTATTTCATGGTATACATACAATCACCTCTAAAATACAAAGTTCATTGGGATGTCTTTTAAACAGCAAAAGCCTATAAATATTTATTCAGTGGTAAATACTATTCCATTTGGTGGTACTTGTTTACAGGCATAAGATTGGAGCCCAGAAAATAAATCAGACATATTTGATATACATTTTGCATTTCATCCTGCACAACTGGAACAAGGAGACAAATTCTGGACAAAGGATTGATTTCAAATAATTATCATTTCCACATTGACAACCACTTCCAGTGCAACACAACCACAACATCTAGGAAAGAATCTACCAGTATTTTGTTTAAGATCTTTAACTCATAATCTAAATGTATACAAGGAAAAACTGAATTTGATTTTGTTCATTATCTTTGGAGCTCATGCATATGAATGAGAAGACCTGTATTGCACTCAGATTATTTCATTTTAATGTATTTGTGTGAATAAGGAAAAAATATAGAAATCACTGCATATTTATTTGGCCTAGGTTCCTCTATAATTATTGTTGTTTCAAAACAACAGCCAACGTTAAAGTCCATCTCCCCATCATGAAACCCTATTCCAAATGTCAGCTTGTTTCTTTAACTTCAGTTCAAAATATAATTTCATGGGTAGAGTGTCACTATAATTTTAACCCTAATTCAGTACAAGTATTGCTCCTCACAGAATATCCATGTACTTCCCACACTGCCCCACCTGAACTGAAACTATGTGCAATTCTCAGAGGATCTTATTGCTTTAGCTACATATGAATGTGTATTTTATGTAACAAAATCCCAAATATACATGTTGACTGTACTTTTATTAGTCCAACAAAGAGAAGCAAACTGTATTAAGCCAAGCCTTTGAAGATTACAGGCTTATTGCTCAGGCATAGATGTTTAAAATCATTTTTAGGAAAGAAATGTACAGTGGAGAGTCACAGAGTTGCATCTTTCTTGAGATTTAAAGTTGTTGTTGAAGATGGTGTTGGGGGAGGGTTGATGCAGAATAACAGTTTCACCACAATGTGTATTTTGTTATATTTGGCTGCTTGGCCAACATGACTGACTACATTTTATAAAATTCAGGCAAATGTATTGTTGGAAATATGGTTAGCATATATCAGTGCATATGCCTAGTGCCTGTACATATTCTACATAAAACTGCTGAGTTTTTAGTTTTTGTGTTGTTAGTCCCATAAGGCAAATAAGATTGCTACACTAAATAGTGCACTTTCTGGAGGTAGTAAAGAAATTATTATCCCTCCAGTTGTTTGGGAAATCTCTTCCAAGCTCCAGTGTGTTGTTGATGCATGGCATGCTACTCTGTGCACACAAAAAGAGTTGGTATCAACTCAGGGTAGGCAAACTCCCCCCCCCATGACAGCATCTATCAGCCAGCATAGTCAATGGTGAAGAATTATAGGAGCTTCAATCCTTCAACCTATGGAGAACCACACTTTTCTTCTAACCATAGTTGTGTTACTCAAGAGCACTTAACAACAACAAAACAGTTGTGTGTTTTGAAGTCCTTTCCAACTTAAGGCAATCCAAAGGTGACCCTATCACAGAGTTTTCTGGGTGAGATTTATGTTCGGGGTGGGGGTTGCCTTTACTTTTCTTTGAGTTGAGAGAGAGTGACTTGTCCAAGGTCTCTCAGTGGTTTCCATGGCCAAGGGATTCAAACCCTAGTCTCCAGAGTCATAGCCCAATGTTCAAACCACTACACCATGCCCACCCCCACCCCCACCTCCAAGCTATGCATTGTGTAAAATTAATTGGAAAGACTTCCTAAAATGTTTGACTTCAAGACACAGGTGCAGAACTACTTGACCCCTAGTGTTAGGGACATATTAAGCAGATCGGGCTAATTTGGAGTAGGTTTAATATATTTCACAATATAATAAATACTAAAAAATACTGAATGAGTTTGCTATTTATTACTCCCCTTCATGAGTCATTATTGCATCCCTTACAGGGTTGTAAGATGCTACAAAATCACCCCAAATCCACTACAGTATTGTAGTTGTTACTAATGTATTGTTTTACTTGTTTTAGAAGTGAATCAGCATTTAATCTGCAGATATTTGACACTATACCTATGTGGTAGTGGGGGAAAATATAAGGAAAGAAAAGCATTGAATATCTTTGTTTTTTTCTCCCCAAGACCATCATGCCTTCCTTCTGTCTAGTATCCTAAAGTTGGTTTAACTTTTTTAAAAAATAGGGAAAAAGATTATGCAACTGCCTGTTAAATGTTGTTTGGTCCTAATGTACAGTAAAAGTATTTTAACACTCATGTAAGAGAGGGTAGTATTGCTTCAAGCAGGAATAGGCATCATTTGCCAGATCTAAGATTAGAGTACTATTTGTATATAAATTTTTCATTAGAAATGACAGCAAAGATCTATTATCTGCTGTAGTATAAAGTTACACTGTAAATCAATATGCTAGCCATATGGATGTCAGGAAGAAAAGTATGTATATTATCTCTATTGACAAGAACTTCATCAAATGTGAACTAAGGCTGAAATTATTCAAATTGCCTTCTTTGTGGATAGTTCAGAAATAATCTAGTAATATATAACCTGTTCAGCATTACTGAGCTCTATATAAAACTTTTCTGAGGCTTCAACAGATTTTCCAGATTTGTTTTCATCAGTCCATTCTGCATGTTACTAAAAATTCCAATCATCTCTTATTCCAAATTGTATAAACATAATTATACAAATATAACAATTTGAAAACAATTTCCAAATTGTACAAAACACATCTTCTCCCTTTTGTTAGACGTTAATAAGTAAAAGGGTTTGAAGACAATTTGTCGTGTCATCTACGTGATGAAAAATTCTAGCTTGCTATAAAAACAAATTCACCTTTAATTGTGAATTAGATTTTTGAGAGTCTTGATTTAAGATTCACAGTGCTGCCTTTCACCATTTAAAAGGCAAGAAAGATGTACCTGTTTACTAATTCAACATCTTTTAGCTTAAAAGGATCAAACTAATATTGCTTTTATGGCAGAACAACAGTTCATAATCCTGAAAATTAAAGACCATTTTTTTAAAAGCCTGAAGAAAGCACATGTATTATCAGAACTCAGTTTGCCTAAATAGCAAAAAGGACTTACATATTTCTGCTAAACTCCTTATTATTGGATAAGGGCATTCTAGCCTGTGGCACCAGTCCCACAGTGGAGTTTTTCATAGCCTTATGGAAAGGTACATAAGGGAATTCAAAAAGATGGAATTGTTGAGAGTCGGAGCAAAGTCCAAAGTCTCTGGATAAATTTAACATTAAATTGGGAAAATTGCAGTGCATTTTGAGAGGATTTATTCTGATTTTCTCCCCTCTGCCATCCCAGTACTTAGCACTTTCAAGTGGTCAGAGCACCTTGCAAGTATCACCTAGGTGTATATTGTTGTTTGTTTGTTTGTTTGTTGTTAACTGCCCTTGAGCCATCCCTGACTCATGGTGGCCCTGTAGATGAGACATCTCCAAGCCTTGCTGTCCTCCACTGTTCTGCTTAGGGCTTGTAAATTAATACTTGTGATCTCCCTAATTGAATCTATCCATCTGGCGTGCAGTCTCCTCTCTTTCTACTGCTCTCCACATTTCCTGGCATTATTGTCTTTTCTAATGAGTCATGCCTTCTCATGATGTGTTCAAAGTATGGCAGCCTTACTTTGCCTCCAAGGAAATTTCTGGCTTTATCTGCTCAAGAAACACTTGTTTCTTTTTCAGGCTGTCCATGGTATCCTCAGCTTGACATGTCAAATGGGTTGATTTTCCTCTTATCTGCTTTCTTCACTGCCAAGCTCTTGCATTTAATGGGGAATACAATGGCTTGGACAATTCTAACTTTAGTGTTAGTGTATATCTTTACACTTTATGATCTTCTATAATTCTTTCATAGCTGCCCTTCTCCTTCCTAGTCTACTTCTGATTTCTTGACTGCAGTCTCCATTCTGATCAATGTTTGAGCCAAGGTATGGGAACTCATTAACTACATTTCTATCCTACTAGTCTTTATACTAGCCATGCATGAGTCCTATTAGGTAAATGAGTCCAATTAGCCCCTTTTTTGTAAATTAGGCTAAGAGGCAATGACAAAGATTCTGGATTATGAGACATAACTAATATAACAGAGCTCTATGCCATGCTATCCCTTATTTTTCAGCCTGGCAGTGCCCTATCCAAAGGGCTTCCAAGGCACTGCAGATCAGGGTGCTGGGAAATGACATCTGCAGCACTCCTGGTTGTGGGGTGCATTGTGAACAGGCAGTTGGAGAGAATGCCTTTGGGATCTGCTGCAAAGTGCCCTGTGATGGGAACAGTACTGCAGACATTATTTTCCAGCACCCCACATGGGGCACTGCCAAGCTGAAAAGGTACAGTTTGGAGGTCACATTTATTAAAAACTGCAAACATGGATCCCCAGTAATTACACAACTGTAAATCCAATTTATAATCTCATAAATACTGAACAGGATGCCAGCCGTTGGCTTGGCTTAGTCATTCAAGTAGCAAATTCTTGGCAGAGTTGAGATTTGGACTGAGCCCTTCATTGTAAATGTATTTCTAATATGCTATTGTGATGTTAAAACCGGTTGTGATTTGTGTTGCTGTTGTTGTTTTAAATTTTTGTATTGCTGGAGGTCTGTTGACTGCAATAAAGGCTTTTGACTTTGACTTTGAGCCCTTCTTGATTCATACCTCAGCCACTTAGCCATCATATTAAACAAATGGGCTAAAAATAACTCATGTGGTTTGAACACCCTTTCCAAACTGGAAAAGTACCCCTGCTGCTTTTCTTTCCCGTATTGCATAGTCTGCTTTTCTTTTTATTTTTTGCCGATATCTGACTGGGCCACAAATACATATTAAATGCACAGAACAAATGACTGATTTCTGCCTAGTGATTCCAAGTCTGCTCTCTGATTTAGTAATATATAAAAAAAGTGCTTGCAAGATCAGATCAAGGTCTCCCTAGCCCAAGAACCACTAGGTGCTTTTCTGCCAGTGGTCTTTCAGCAGATCAAAGTCACTTTTTAGCCTGACCATGCTGTGTGTGTGGGGGGGGGGGGGGCTACACAGCCCTTGGAGAGATGGGAAAGGGTTAAATAGAAAAGCCTAGTGTTTGACACACAGTCAAGTCTGAGTTACCTCTTACAACTCTAAATGCTGTTGGAGATGTGTCATGCCAAACTAAATTCTTACTAGATGTCAAATTTCTATGGATTTACAGGCTTTTGTCAGAGAAATGCCTAATGCATAAATAGGGCACCCATTATGAGAGAATTCATTGAGAATGGCTGCCACCTCACAAATGCAATACAATAAAAACTGTTAGGAAAAAATGTGGGCGTTAGAAAAACAACACATTCTTAAACCTGAGTGCATTTAAATCCTCATTTCTACCTAGGAGTGCAGCTGTATTTCATCTCAGTGATGTGTTTTCAGAATTCAAGACAATTTAAGGAATGCTGCATGTGCCTGTTTTGTTTTGTTCTGAAAGCAAGATGGGGAAGCATTTCAAAAATTAATCTAACCTGAATTGGACACCAGACCCATAAATATTTCAAGTTAATTTAGAATTATTAACATAATTTCATTATTATTATTATTATTATTATTATTATTATTATTATGCCTCATATTTTTCCAAAGAGTGGACTTAAGGTGGCTTACAAATTAAAATGATTACAATATAGTTTTTTTGTAAAAAAAAAAAAAAAGACAGCTTTAAAATGGAATTAAACTACTAACAAAGTTAAGAGCAATTTAAACTGTACACATAAAAAGCAGTTTAAAATATTACAATTTCAAACAACACTTAAAAGACCTTTCCTTACAATCCTTCATTTTGAAAAGCCTGTTGGGATTTTAAAAAAAGTATTTGCCTACCAATGGAAGGATAGCAACGAAGGAGCCATTCTTGCTTCTTTAGGGCAGGAATTCTAGAGCCGAGGGGCAGCTACTTAGAAGGCCCTGCCCCAAGTTCCCATGAACTATGAAGGTGATGGGTCTGATAGAAGGGCCTCTCCTTATGATTTGAGGGTCCAAGGAGGATCATGCAGGGAGACATGGAGCCTTTGCAGACTACCAGAAATAGTGCAAATTGAGTCCACTTTAAGGGTTAGGGTTAGTGCTATGGAATCATGGGAATTGTTGTTGTTTTTTGACACACTGAGACATCTGTCAGAGAGCTCTGGTGCCACAATAAAATGCAGTTCCCATGAGTTCCTAACCCTAACCCTTAAAGTGGACTCAATTTGCACTATTTCTGGCAGTCTGCAAAGACCCATGGTCTCTCAGATATCCTGGATCTAAGCCATAAAGTGTTTTATTTATTTACTACTTCTTTTTTCTTTTTGCATGGCAGGTGAACTCAAAGGAGCAAAGAATCAAGTTAAATTATAATTTACTTTAAATTAAATTAAATTAGTATAATTAAATTAAAATAAATTGAAAGTAAGTAATACAACAGTGAAATGATACACAGTGAGTATTTTATATATCCAAAAGAAAGGCAAATGTTCTGGGTGGAAAAAGTGAGGGAGCAAGTGTACCTCTTCAAGTGAGCTCTTCCACAACAAAGGCATCACAAGTGAACACAAGAAATACTTGATCCAGTAACACCCCCAGGCTGCAGATGTTCTGTCTCACATTCATCCTGTTTGAATATGTCTCTAAAGACTGTCAAGGCCCCACAAACAATACTTCTCATTCATCAAT